TGATCTGGTTGAAGCATCTATTTCAATCGCCCTTAATAAAATTTCACGAAGATCACGACGACTTGAGAGAGCAAAATAAAAAATCATTGTAATTAAATAATATTTTCAGCTGATTGACATCGCGTCAACAAGCGACCGGGCGCGGCTACAGCGACACAAGACTGTGAGCGCTGACGCGCGAATCGGCGCGCGCCTACCCATAACGGATATTGATTGATCTGCGACCCAAGCGTACCATGGTTATTGATTGATCTGCGATATGACTGATGTGATCTGATTGGTCCGATAACAGTAAAGCGTATATGGCGCAGTGGCTGGATGTGGGCTGCGTCGCACACAGGGTCTATGGTTCGATCTCGCGCTCATGGCTCACCAAGCCATCCATTCTTCCGGGGTCGGTAGACTAGTGCCAGACTGCTTCCAGGTCTGCCTGTAAGGATAGGGAGAGGTGATTCGATACAGCGGAAGACCACCGCGAGTCATTGTAGGGACCAGATATGCATTCAATCACCCCAAATGAAGTTGAAAATTGAAGACCATTGCTTAGCACCTACCTCAAGGATATCAGCGCTGAGAGCTTTATCCTTTATTCTTTATCCTTTATCCATGTTTAGCTTTAGCCAATTATAAATAACCATATATAAGGATGCATATGTCGCAGAGGTTAGAGAACGCCTCGCGACACACACGGAGTCAATGGTTCGATCCCGCTCTCACGATTCATCACGCGTCGATTACGTGACACATCCCTAAGAGCTTGATCATCGCCGAGAGTTCTGTCCTTATTTTTTACATTATCGACAGCGGTCAAAGTGTCAGTCGACAACATCTGGTCAAAGTGAGGCCAATTATAGTTAGGAAGCGCCAGGGCCAAGTGGTTGTGATGCTCGTCGTGGTTTGCATTGAGCCCATCTCCACCCCCACCCCCCCCCCCCCCCCTACTCTCTTCGGCAGTCAGTAACAACGCCTGATGGAGCGCCACTGTCAGGCTATTCTCGAGATTGCAAGGAGACATGGTCAACCAGAATTCTACGACGGTGAATGCCACAAATAGTGGGATAAACACAGTGAAAAAAAAACGCTGTGAAGACGGATCAACAGAATGTCTGAAAAAGAGACTAATTGTTTAGCTTGCTGATAAAAGGAATCGGCCTTTACTGCAGCGACGTATAATTGAAATTCTATATTTTTAAAAATTTCTTACACATGTTTACTGTATAGTGGGACGACGAGATTCGTGGTTCATCAGATTTGTACTTACGCCGGAATATCTCAATTGACACTCGGGAATGAGCCATGTCGAGGAGAATAGCCTGTGCCAGTCATCTGTGTGTCAGACCAGTTGTAGACGACAAACCACATGGCTTGCCAACAACTTGGCACACATCCTGTCATTCATATTGGTGGAAGAAGCTTTCACAGGGCTTTTGCGAGAAATGATAGCTGTTACACACTTTCATTAACCTATCCAATCAACCGCTTCTTCATAGACCCCGCCCAAAACAATAATACTCTGATAATGGTATAGTATGTTTTGAGCCGTTGAGGTCTGAGTGCTAAATAGACGCCTGTTTCGTCTCACCTGGACTCCTCAGCAGCACAGTCCCTAGGTTCAGCCGAGCCCTTGAGGCTATTAATCCTCTATGAAGGAATCAACGCCGAGCATTAGCGCAAATGAGGTGCTAGACTTTTATTAACTGTATAGTATATTAGGTCGTTCCTTAGTCTTGGCACTAGAGCAATAAACACTAAATTTGTAAACCAGAAGCTGATTTTGTTATTGTTCAATAGCGCATTTTCAAACAAGTATTTTAGCATACAACTTGCCTATTCTTGCGCAACTGAAAGTATTTTCACAGTAATAAGTCCAATTCCTCCACTACCTTATCAGCACGATTAGAATAGCCGATGGTAGTGAAAAATTTGAGATTCATTGTCACTTGTAAATTCACCTAATCAGTCTTTTGCTGCGTGTGAGAAAAAATCCTCCAGCAATCTTCAGATAACTTTCTAAGTTCTTCGCGGACAAATCAGGTGCTTGAGAAACTTTTTTAGTTTCCTTTCTAAAACGCTACCATATCAAACGTAACAACCTTGAGAAGGCTTACACTTTCTCGCAATCTAGAAATTTCTTTGAAGCAAAAGAAGAAGCTCAAAATATCAACGGAAATCATGCTACACGTAGCTATTTCAACTAACTCCCCAAACGGGCAAAATTTTTGTCTATTTGAAAATTTTTCCTCCATCTCAAAGAAATTTCTAGTTTCACGCAGTTATGCATGAGACTTCATTCTATCGTTTTCTAGATGTTAGATTTTCATTATCATTTTATATACCCAAATAGACCCAGTGTTAAGCTTGAGTAACGGGCTAACTATTCGAGTGTGAAACATAATATTATTCTAGCTCTCACAGCGCTCTATAAAGACCTTTTCAAACCCGATCCGGCTATAAAATAATCAAAATATGTGTTATCAGAAGGTTACAGAACTTTGGCGAAAAGTCAAACAGAAATTTTAGCCGAGCAAAAAATGCGTGTCAAGTGTAAAGTATGATATTCTCTTCGCCGTCACTACAGCCCAATCAGAACGTTTTTGTAGAGACTAAGAGCAGTATTAAAATCGTCATCATTAAGCTATTGGACGGCTACTAAGACTCTGCTAAAACAGTCTGTCTGGCGAAAAGCCATATCAATACCAATGGAGAACGCACTGGCACTTCGGAGGCGACTTTTAATATGCGTATCACTGCTACAGCCTATGAAGAAATTTCTTTCCAAGAATCAAGTCTAGTGCTGGAAACACAATTTTTCAGCTATCAGTTAGTGCAAAAGTAGAAGCTACTGATAGCCAGGTGAAGAATGTATGTCCGACGTAGAAACGACGAAAGGGCCAGTGCACAATGAAGTGAACGCCTGGTTCCCGAAGGGTTTTACATTACGCGGTGAGTGTCACGAGTGTCAATTAATCCGGTACGAAAATCTGAGAAATCAACAAATACTGTCGGTCGTACCTCAGAAGTTAACTTTTCAGTGTACTTTGCCAAAAAATCGATTATTCCCCAGAGTTTATCCACCCATTTATAAGGTTTGAGTATTTCACTCATCCTATATGCCCCTCTATTGGTTTTTTTTTTTGAAAACGCCCATCTTTTATGAGGTGAGAAAAAATTGTCAATCATCTAGCCACGGTGTTGTCTGCTTTCGACAGTCGCATCCTCATCACATTTGAATGCATCCTGACATTTCTGACTGTTCCTTATTTTTTCTTGCAAATTATTTGAAGTGTAATTCGGACTTACACGCTATGCTACATGAGCAAAAGAGACTGAAGAAAATTAAAACATTGAGGCATTCTTCGTGCCAGAGTGTCTGAAGAAATGAGCTGAAAAACGAAAATGAATGTGAGAATGATGAAGTCAGCAGTGAGTGAGCAAATAGTGGTGCCATAACACTTGCGACAACTCCTTTCTGTTTCTTGCAAAATGGACAGTTACTAATTCAGTTTCTGTAATAAGACAAACTTTTCCAAAGCACTTTTTATGCTTTCAAAGAAAAGCTTTAAAACTAAAGGAGTCTACGGCCGATAACTTTGCGAACAAGAGCAGCGAAAATACGGGTGTTCTTTCTCAATGTTATAACAGGGCAGTGATGATGAGTACGAGCCACACTGTATTTCCCTCAACTTAACACCTTCATTACACAAATTTTGGGAGAGGGAGGCCATGTTCTTGCAGGAGTAAGCATAGAACGAGCTGTCAGCACTTGAAAAAGCGCGCGCAAGTGAAAGTGACTTTCAATGAAGTTACAAAGTAACATGGAGCTGGGTCGAGCTCACGAGGTTGACGGATACCTATTTCCTAAGTGATGCAGTACTTAAAAACAATGACTGCAGAAGTGTGTAACATTTCCGTAGTACTTGCAACTGAATGTCTGGTCCTATAACAAAAGTATAACCAGTATCTTCAATCAATGAAAATCAAAGTCTTGTATAACTAACGGATAAGAAATGTCTTCGTGAACATAAATGACCGAATGGCAGCTCTGCATTGCATTTTTTTCTACATGAGAACCATATTGAGCACAATTAAGAACATTTAGGGGCTGAATTCCAAATAAACGCCTATTATTCTATGTTGGAAAAAGTTGAGAGTGTGTCTGTGAATTGTAAAACTTTGCTATAAAATAAATATCTGTCTACATAATACATAACATAAAACATCCGAGGTTGTGATGGCACAGTTAGATAGATTGTTCTTCAAGTCAAACTCTGTCAAAGAGCCTTTTCAATGATTTTTGGTAATGAAAGATACTTATGGGTTACAGAACGTCAACATTTAATAAATGGAAGAAATTTTACAAAATGTTTTGTAAATAGCTAAACAAATAGAATGGTCTTTAACAGACTATATGTGACACTTTTGACACTATACGCTATAGATGATTACAAAAAAAGGCACCAATGAATCTCTGTGCGGCGAAATAAATCTTCAAAAAAAGTGGATTGGTGGGCTCCGTTCGTTTTGCTCTTCCACAAATGTAGAACATGTTGTACTGATCTTGCTGAACACAGATCCGATAATGCACGAAGGTGGCTGACATTCTGGTTGATCTTTTTGGATAAAACTATATTCTCACTTGGAATTCTTTTTACTTAACTGCTTTAAGCGATGGTATGATGTTAAAGTATATCCAATGATTTGGAGTGATGTGCAAAATTTTGCGTCAGGCGCGACTCGAACCAGCATTTCACCCTATCCGAGAACTCGTGCTCTAACCCGTTACAATGTCAACGCCTGTACTTTTGCCACCAACGCTACAAAGCTTCCATCTGATCAATCGTCAACGGTTTGGCCCATGTAATCGGTGTCGACAATGAACCCAGTCACGCTGACAGATATTGGGCATTGGATAATTAAATACAATTGATTTTATTTACAACTTTTACTTCTGGCATGATGTTATACTATACTCATTGATGTAGAGTGATGTGCAGAAGTTTTGCATAAGGTGGGACTCGAACCCACATTTGACCTTATCAAAAGGCGCGTGCTCAAACTGTTGCGCTACTGACGCCTGTTTTGACACCACATAGGTATTGGATATATTATCACCGCTTGATTCTGATCCTCTTGCAGCTGTCATCAAGGAGTCTAGTATCTTACTGACCATGTCATGTTATACGACACTACGCCCACGCATTCGACTATACTGGCTAGTGGTGATCTTGAAGTCATGTCTTCTTGACTTGAAAAATGGGTACGATAGAAAAAGGTATTCATGCGGTAGAATGGTATGAAAACAAGAATAGTTTGCTGGCTGTGTAGGACTACGAGAACAACGTTTGAATCTGTGTATGACATACATTTCAACACACATTCGTTCATTTTCATGTTCATATAGCGGCAGAGAACAGTGTTCATGAATTCAGATTTCAATCTATCCATAAGTAATCAAGGAGTGCTACAGCATCAAGTAAATATACAATTCTGTATGAGACAGGTCTAACAAGTTGATTATGCCATAGCAATTGTGATCTATCAATTAGTGGACAATATAAACCTCTAAAAAGCTTTAATACTAGCGTAACTGAAATTTACATCACTGTAATTAACATTAAAATTTCAAGTTTTGAATTTGGTCGTCGCTTTCCTTCTCATTGTCAGGATTGCATGCAGACACGGGTTTTGAGTGCATTGGTTGCACCTTTTTCTGAGGAATCAAAGCTGCCATAAGCAGCTTTTCAAGCTTTGTTGTCGGAATTTCGATCATACAGCTCCAAATAAAAGCGAGAAAGTAGCTGAGTACAATAACAGGGATCGTGCGATATACATACTGAAAAATGGACTTGAACCTACGGAAGGATTGGTGTGACGTCATTCAAATACTTAGAAAATGGGTATAAGATTATCGCATCTTTTCAAATCTTGTCATTCAATAAAACTGATTTGTGAAGAAGCAGCAGTGCAGTTGTCAAAATCTATCATAAGCCTTATTATGCGTTCTGGCAAACGAAGGCGATGTACATGAAAAGCGTAGATGGCCCAACGCGCTCTTGTCCTATATTCCTTGTTGATTTAGCGAATAGCGCAAGGTTGATAAAAATAAATATACTTCGCTAACGTTTCAGCGTCTTCTCCTTGTTCAGAGCTGATGAATCGAGTAGATTGATCACGTTTCCTTCGTCTCCACTCTCCCAACAAGCTATGATTGTCGCTGACCTTTCTTATCACGTTTTGGTTCATATATGTTGCAACTCAAGTGCATATTTTGGTGATACATGAGAACAGAATACTTAGTAAGCTTTCATTTCTCTCATGGTCTAAATTCCGTAGAGAGGAGATTTTTCTGACAACTGAATCTCCTTCAAATTCCTTTGCGGCTTTATTTCCTATCCTGCTTTGATGGCGTCTACACTGATCCACTGCTGATCAGTATTCTTACATCCATGTAGGTGCGCGTACATCTTTATGGTAGGAAATTTTTGGAGTGACTCAATACAAGCTGTACTCTGTGGTTACAAAAGATTTCCACATCGGCATTCCTCTTACCCTCCTACAGCTCCATGAACTACTCGCCAATTTTGAATCAGAGGGAGTCGAAGGTGAAGGGATTAGATACTGCTCGCAATGATGATAAGAAGTGGATGTCAAGCATCTATTACTTTTGGTTAATCTGAAGAGCCTATCAAAAGAAGTTTCAATGGTAAAACTGCTTTTTATCAACAGCTTCACTGCTTGAACCTCCAAAGAATACGAGTTTGTTGTTGTTCGTCTTGGCCAAGGTCGTCTACTTTGTAACGACAACGGAATCACCAAGTCATACATCAATCGCATTATCAACAATAACCCTAGTTTACTTTTCTTTATTTAGAACTTGCACGAGGTTGGTACTTCTTTTTCTTTAAAATCTGATGGCTGACGTTTCGGCGACAACGCCTTCGTCAGAGCTTCAGGGTTAAATAAAGCTCCGACGAAGGCGTTGACGCGAAACGATAGCCATCAGATTTTGATAAAAAAAAGTATTAACTTTGTACAAGTTTTAAATAAAGAAGGGGACGGATCGTGATAAATTTTTCGTTTATTCAGTCATGCCGAGATTTACAGATCGTACTTTCGAGCAATAACTCCAATAATATCATTACCAATATCAAGTATATTATCAGTTATACTTTAAACTGACCATTTGCCATAACGAAATGAAATTGAATGGCCGATCATCCAGGTTGAAGACGTAGCGAATAACGAAATAGTGCACAATATAGGCGCAGTACGACATTTTGCCTAATGGTTGCCAAATTGGATGATCCATGAAAGTCGCAATAAGACCTAAATCACTGCAGAAATTTCAACGAATCAAGACGCTGCTAATTTATGAATAATACTGTTGTATAATATAAATTCTGAAAAATACTGTTGTAAAATACTGGCATCGCATAAAGCGATATGTACTTTCACTAAAAATTTTCTACATTGGTTGATTACTTAATACATAGTTTTCCTCTATCCAACAAATCAATCGCACATACACTAGCGGTCATCATACGCCCATACTGTGTGCAAGAGTTGTTCTTTAGCCACTCATTCGAACGATGTGGAAAGGTTTGCGTTTTTTTGCTTTGGCAAGTCTAAGGTAATCATGCAGATGCTTAATGGTCGGCTCAGTGATATTCATGGTTTGCGTTTGGCCTAGTGCAAAACAGTAATTGAAGAGCATTATACAGTTGGAGCTTCTGAAATGTTCATTTTTTGAGGAGAAAGAAGCGAACAAATGCTTTTTATAAGAAAGTGGTTTTTCTAAATTTAAATCGAAGTGAGACCTTTTGTTGCGTCCTATAAAAATTAGCCACGCTAGTTGTTCTCACTAACATTTTATCCCAGGATCAATACGTTTCAGATATGACGAAAAAGTTTCAGCTGCCAGCTGTCGATTATGAATACCGTACTGTCCATTCTCACTTTCGCGGAACATCCTTAACAGTGGTTCCAGACAGCCTTCGGGAGACACTATCCCTTTAATCTCCATCACATCGGCAACTATACTGCAGAATGATATCATACATGCCATTAAGTTGTTACCAATCAAGGATCTTTGCGTGAGCGTGTGGAGTATCTGGCGAGTGTCTTGTGATTGCTTCGATCTTAACTAAATGGAATACGTTTTTAAATCGACTGATTGAAAACTTATCGCTATTGTTTACCGGCGCACGTTTGCAATTAGTTCAGTCTCTTTTCCAAATTTTTCAGCTTGCACAGATTCGGTTTCAGTTTCTAGTTAGGTAGTGTTTCGACGTCTCCGTCGTTTTCGGAGCCGCTAACTCGAGCCAAAAATCACAATCTTTTGTCCTTTTCAAGTCATATAAGCCTCGCTTTAACTGAAAAAGCTGTGAGGTACGTACTGATTGTTTATGCCGAGGCTAAATGGAAGACGACTTGGTAACTTATTAGTTCCGTCACTGTTTGAATATGATATTATGAAAAGATTTCGTGAATCTACAGTTGTCTTTGCGGCTTTCGCCCTTTCAGTACTTTCGACTCTCTCAAAGATCAACGTGATGATTAGCTTGAAGACGGTACTCATCAAACGATCAAGCGATACTCACGAATGCTCCGCCGGTCCCTTTTAGTGTTTGATAAAATGTTCTAACTGATTTCCCATCAGATAAATATTTTGTATTATAGCACGTACCATGTGAAAAGTGTGTTGATAAGGACATGCGGTCAATTTTTATGATTCCAAGGTACGATTCCGTTAAGATCGGTTAGTGCACGATTCTTCACAGGAGAGATAGTACGTTGGAATACAAAACGACGGTGATGATATCTGAATACTTACTTACCTAGTTGAGCGGCTCTTCCGCACTGATTATGTGGGCTCCAATGCAGAGAAATTGTGCTGGTTTAGCTGTTTTGTTCCCCGGAGTACCGAGGCAAGCCAAGCCGGAGTCTCCTCACGACGTCATCACATTTGAGCATTCACTGGCCTTTGTGGATCACAGTGAGATTACCACCTTGCGATTAATAGCTACTAAGACGCCGCTCATTCGTGGTGTGGCTTACACTTAGCTGGGCTTTACAGATGAAGACGTTGGACTTCTTCTCAGCTTGGATGGTCCTACCTCAGGGGCCTAACCTCTCGCTGTACTTCGCAGTTGGACACCGAAGAACACCCAGCCACTACGAGGCGGTAAGCCATTTAAAAGAATATTATATGAATGCTCGCTGCAGTTGTTCAAAGATGGAATGATGCTTTTTAAACGTTCTTATGTTCCCATTTTGAATTCTTCATTGATGATCTTATAGAATGCATAGTTTTCTCTATAGGACTATTCAAAGTCCATAGTGATCATTACGTCTTCTTCTTCATCACAGCTTGGTGAAGGTGCGTAAGCAGCGAATATGTTGAAAGCCGGTACCGAGTCGCCTCGACCGTAAACGTCATATTCGGGTTGTTAGCTTTCCAAACAAACTGTTGTTCGTGGCTTCACTTGTGTTGACAACAGCTTTAACACTTTCAACTTTTCTACTATCTGACGTCCCAATATAAGCTCTGGGAGTCACAGCCAGCCTTAAATGAATAGAATTTTCTTATCTCAGCAAGTTTGACGATATTCTATGCTCCTTCTTGCCTAGATGTCACCTTCTTTGAGTAGGACGCAGATGCAAGCGAGCGTGCTAACAAATACAGATTTCCAGCCTAATTCTGTAAGTTTTAGGCAATCTAAAATGACGCCGAGATTTCAGCACAGTGTATGTGCTCCTTTCAAGTTACCCACTGCTGCGCTTCGCGAGTTTTTTCAGGGTGGGAAACATGTGGCTCACTTGTGCTAAATCTAGTTTTTTTGGCTTCTAGAACATATTGATCGGTAAACCTAAGAGCTTTATGTGTCCACAGGTATCATATCATTCTCTTCCATAAAAGGCGGAGCGAAGTTTAATTGTAAGAGGCTATTCCCAACTGTCGCGAAATGAGATTTTCATTCGATTACCGACTTTGACGAATTTGTAGAATAAAAGAGAATAGATAGAAAAGAAATACACCAAAGTGGTGTAGCAAGAACAAGAGATCCATTTCCT